GGACCCCGTACTCCCGGAGCACCCCCCACAGGGCGCTGCGAGGGACACGGTCGAATGCCTTCTCCAGATCCACGCAGCACATGTGGACTGGTTGGGCAAACTCCCATGAACCCTCCGCCACCCTGAAGAGGGTATAGAGCTGGTCCAGTGTTCCACGGCCAGGACGAAAACCGCATTGTTCCTCCTGGATCCGAGGTTCGACTATCGGTCGAATTCTCCTCTCCAGTACCCTGGCATAGACTTTCCCGGGGAGGCTGAGGAGTGTGATCCCCCTATAGTTGGAACACACCCTCCGGTCCCCCTTCTTAAAAAGAGGGACCACCACCCCGGTCTGCCAGTCCAGAGGCACTGTCCCCGACCGCCATGCGACGTTGCAGAGGCGTGTCAACCAAGACAGCCCAACAACATCCAGAGACTTGAGGTACTCAGGGCGGATCTCATCCACCCCCGGTGCCTTCCCACTGAGAAGCTTCTTGATTACCTCAGTGACTTCAGCTTGGGTGATGGACGAGTCCACCTCTGAGCCCTCAGCCTTTGCTTCCTCATCGGAAGACATGGCGCCGGGATTGAGGAGATCCTCGAAGTATTCCTTCCACCGTCCGACAATGTCCCCAGTTGAGGTCAACAGCTGCCCTCCCCCACTGTAAACAGTTTCGGCAGGGCACTGCTTCCCCCTCCTGAGGCGCCGGACGGTTTGCCAGAATCTCTTCGAGGCCGACCGATAGTCCTTCTCCATGGCCTCACCGAACTCTTCCCAGACCCGAGTTTTTGCCTCTGCAACCGCCTGGGCTGCAGCCCGCTTGGCCTGCCGGTACCTGTCAGCTGTCTCAGGAGTCCCACGAGCCAACCAGGCTCGAAAGGACTCCTTCTTCAGCTTGATGGCAGCCCTTACTTCCGGTGTCCACCACCGGGTTCGGGGATTGCCACCACGACAGGCACCGGAGACCTTACGGCCACAGCTCCGAATGGCCGCATCGACAATGGAGGTGGAGAATGCGGTCCACTCGGACTCGATCTCTCCAACCTCCCCCGGGATCTGGTCAAAGCTCTGCCGGAGGCGGGAGTTGAAGATCTCTCTGACAGGGGATTCTGCTAAACGTTCCCAACAGACCCTCACAATACGTTTGGGTCTGCCGAGTCTGTCCAGCTTCCTCCCCCGCCATCGGATCCAGCTCACCACCAGGTGGTGATCAGTTGACAGCTCCGCCCCTCTCTTCACCCGAGTGTCCAAGACATACGGCCGGAGGTCAGATGAAACAACCACAAAGTCGATCATCGACCTCTGGCCTAGGGTGTCCTGGTGCCATGTGCACTGATGGACACCCTTATGCTTGAACATGGTGTTCAAGCATAAGAGCCTTTTGCTCTCAGATTGTAATTGCCCTAGAAACAAGTGAATTACAGATTTATTTATTTTAACTTGAATTTAAAAAAGTTTCTAAAAGCCATCCAACCCGCAGACGCTGATCTATTAATCATGTAAATATAAAGGCAGACAATGTACAAAGGCCCAGATTCAGACTGTTTCCTAACCAAGGGCAACATCTGTTTTATTTTACTGAATTGCAGTGTCTATCTAGGTCAAAAACTGAGCCCACCGGCTGGTCCATTTTAACACTCTGGGTACTGTGAGAGCTCATTTGAAAACACACAGAAAGACCCACACAGACATGCAGAGGAGTTAGCTTGTTAGTTCCCTCTGAGTTGGGAGAAGGGAGTTGCTCCTGGCATGCTAAATCCTAACATTTGCCAAGCCTGAAGGCACTGTTTCTATAGTCTGCTGAGCTCTGTTCTCTAGATACAATCACAGCTCTGAACTGTTGAAACACAGCCTGAATCCCAGTGGTCTCTGGGACTGACAGGGCTTCACCTATTTCTGAATAAATAACAAATTTTATGTCCCCCAAAGTGTACACAAAGTGATGGATCATAACAACATAACAGGGCATGTGATATTTACTATAGCTAAAAGAATCATGATAACATTTTTACCAAAAACAACCCCAACTAAAATAATTTGACCTAATCGTAACCCTTAAAATGGATGCCACACTTAACCAAAAAGAGCAAAAGCATATTGTAACTTAGCTGAGTGAATAGTCACAAATTTATGATAAACAAGTTTATGAATTATACACGGAATGATCGGCTCAGATTTAATGAAATATTCCAGCAGATCATGCATTCCAGGGGTTTTCAACCAGTGGCCCCTGGCCCTCTGGTGGTCCGTGAAGGCTTTGCACGTGGTCTCTGACCACACATTCCGTAGTGAAGTTTCACTACACATTTCCACATATTAAATATTGTTTGTGAATAACTGAATTCATCGAAAGACATCAAACTCAGAAAAGCCATGGTGACTTTCAGGATCAAAATAGTGCCGGTTTATCCACCATGAAACAATGGTTCTCAGGTTGCTTATTAGTCACAACAGTGGTCCCTGCATCACAATCATTTGAAAGCCCCTGATGTAATCAGTCAGTCCAGGCTGAGAGCTGAAAGCACAGATGCACAGACAGAGTAATCCATCGTTTCTGTCATAAGAGCCTCTGCTCAGTAACACCCATAAACACATCCCCACAATGCAAATTCTGCACTGCTGTCATTGTTGTGGAATAACTGCCTCTGACATAAAAGACCAGTTTAGTCACAGTTTCCATAACATTTGGTTTGGTGCAGCGTCCTCATTGGTGGAAAGCTCAGGGGAACTGTTTGTATGGATCATATAATAAGTATGCTTTTCTTGAAGCTTTGTTCTCTTTTTCATAAACTGCAGTGTTAGGCACTTAATGTGGACAGCTCTGTTGACCTAAATATCCCCGTACAGTGTCATCTGACTGTGATAGTTCTGTCTGTGGTTACATCTGATTTGAAAGAGCAGAGATTCCTGGGCCTCTTGTCCTGTGTTGCCCTGGGACTGCAGGAATGTAGAATGGAGCAGTCTCAGGATTAGTTTCCCCTCCTCCTCTTTTCTTCTGCCTCTTTTCCTCTAACAAGAAAGAAGAAGAAGGGAGGGGTGTATGTGTATATATGTGTGTGTGTGTGTTTGAGGAGGTTCAGATAGTTAGAGAGCTGTACAAGTTTCTCACCAGTCAACAGAGTTCAGATTGCAGCCACGTAATCGCCTTGCCAGTGAGGAGAACAAAGTCCAGGTTCACTTCTATTTTTTTAGCATATTTGTGGAGGTAAAGTGTATGTTTTAACAATATGTGTGTATTTGTGATATAGAGAGAGACCAGACCATTAAACACATTATTTCCTCCACATGCTGCCTTGTTAGAGAAGTTCCTCTTCATCTGGTTTTCATTGGTTATGCCTCTCTGAGCTGAACTGAAACCATCAGAGTCACAACTGGGTGTGGGTAACTTCAAGGAATCCTTTAAAATGTAATAATCTGCTCATTTCTGTTCTGATTAGAGTTGAGGTCAGCTTGGAGAATTTAGGTGGAGGACAACAAAGATCACTTCTTACATCTTTTTAACTGTAGGTTGTACTGGCTTACAATGGTTTAAGATTTCCTTTTTAAATTTTGTTCCAAGGCCCTAGCTGCTCACTTCTATATGAGTGTAGTCTCTCATTCATTTTATTTATTTCAGCAGTTTTACAGAAAATGCATTACTGCGGTTTTCTGCCCATATGATTTAATAAAGTTAAACACTTTATTAGTTAGTGTTCAGAAAGTTGTAGTTCCCAGTCAACCCTGTAGTGTGCTTATTATATAAAGGCCTTTTCTGAAAAAGTCCACCATGACAGTGAAAATGTTTATTGTGACATTTTCTCTTTCCAGCTTTTTAGCTGTAATCGCTGTTGTCTAGTCTTCAACCTTCCCTGTCTGCCATGGACTGTATAAAGTTGGACAATGCATTACCACTTCCTGCCACTATGCAAAATATGGGGGCATCCATCTTGCTTTTGTGATGCATTTTGCAACCAGATTCTGTCCAGTAGCTGTGGTATCAGGCTGCCAAACAAAGCTGTCAGCATCTGAAATACACCCTTTTTATGTTATCAAATAATTTGTTAAAAGCAAGCATAAAAAAAAACACTTGTACACAAGTCTTTGGGAAAAAATTAGTTGATTTGTACATAACATTTTTATTTTGGCTCATGTCCCATCTGCTAACATGGAGGAGGTGAGGTTTATCTTTATATACAGTCTAATCTAGTTTCATGGCGGGATTTTTACTATCTTACTGCAAAAGAAATCATAGGGTGTAGTTTTTCGGGGGGTGACTGTGGTTCAGTGGGTAGAGAAGTCGTCTCCCAACCAGAGGGTTGGTGGTTCAAATCACGGTGCCTACAGTCCACATGTCAAAGTGTCCTTGAGCAAGACACTGAACCCCCAAGTTGCCCCCGATGGTTAGAGCATTGGTGTGAGTTGGCGCCGCAGATGGCTGCCTCGGTTCTGTACCAGAGACAAATTCCTTATGTGTGTAACATGCTTGGCCAATAAAGGTGATTAATTTTGGATCCTTTGCATACCTGCCACACTTTCTCAGTCTTCTCACTCTGTTCTCCTTCAGGTGCATTGACCAAGGTGAAAGACTGTCCGAAACAGGAAGGTGAGCTCCACAAGCGCTGCAACATCATTTCCTGTGCCACACTGGCAGAGATCCAACACTTCCACCGCACACGTGTACGGGACTTCCGCTCACAAATGCAGCACCATCTCCGTCAGCAGATTGGCTTCTTCCAGAAGATCACCGCCAAACTGGAGGATGCACTTCAGAGATATGATGATGACCAATAGGAAGAGAGGCAGAAAAGGGAGAAGCTGGACTACAAGGGCCTGGAGAAAATGGGGGAGAAGAAGAAGAGTGAAGAAGACAGGGATGATTGATGGGTTTGTCCTTCAGTAATGGAGAACATCTTATCATTCTGATGGATCCTGGGCCTGGTACCAGTGTTGGATGAAAGAGGCTACCGCTCTGTAGAGAAATATAGCTCACTGGGCCTGTGGACTGATGACTTCTTGGATTATCTGGACAGCTCTGATGAATGTACCAGTAACAAGGATTTTGCTGACACTCCAGGCACATGTTGCAGCTCAGCGGGACAGCATAGATCTGAAAAACAGCTGTAATCAGTATCACGGGGCTCCCTCTCAATTCCCACTTCCAAGGTCATTTGATCTTTCCATTCTTCCACTACATTACCACTCCATGGAAACACGATAACCAAGCACAAACATACGTAGATATGAATCTCCCTAAATCACAATTGGACTGATTCAATTTAATGTTATCTCTATATGCTATTTTTTTCTGCTTGAATTACCTGTTCAGTATTGTTGTCATGGAGCATGACAGTATGTAAGTGATTGATTGAGAATGTGGAATGAGACAAAAATGGCCACGTTCTACTCTGATTCAGTTTTGTAGTTAGATTTTCTTTACAGTATGACCTACTTCCGATGTCTAACATCTCTCACACAACACAGATGCTGTCACATCTTTACTAAATTACTATTTTTAGCCCTGTTTTGTTTGACATTTTAGTTGATGCAGTGCATGACTTAATGTAAAGCCATGGTTCTCAAAGTGTGGGGCGCGCCCCACTAGTGGGGAATAAAGACATGACAGGTGGGGTGCAACGAATGGAGAAAATTAGAAATGGGTCATTAATACAAGTTAATTAAAATAACATCAGTTTGGGGCCCGGGAGAAAAAAAGTGGAACCACAGTGGAACAATAACGGTTTACTGTCGGCAACAATATAAGGAAACGTTCACACAGAGGTAAAATTTGCATCAGTGGACAGCAAAGGACAAATGGCTTCATTCAAAGTTGCATACAGAATTGCCCAGTGCAAAAAACCACACACAATTGCTGAGCAGCTCATTCTCCCTGCTGCTGTAGACATGGTGTTGATTATGCTGGATGAGACAAGGGCTGCAAAACTGAAAACTATCCCCTGTCAAATGATACAGTTGCAAGACAAAGCTAAGTTATAACACAATTGAACTTATATTTTATCTGTTTTGAACTTAGTGTTATTTGATATTTCAATAAATTTGAAATTTTAAAATTGGCCGATTTCTTTATCATTTTATTGACAAGTGGGGCTTGAAAATTTGCCCACCCTCTTAAGTGGGGAATGACAGAAAATGTTTGAGAACCACTGCTGTAAAGCAACAGTGTATTGAATTCAGACATTACTTTTTGACTGATTTTCTGTTTGATTGGAGAGGCAGCTACATGGTCATTTGGGGGATTTCTCTTTAAAACCTGAAGTTGCTATGTCTTTCTACTTTCTGTCAGTCCAAGAAGGTCAGAGGTCAGGCTCTGGTACAAACACAGTGAATGCATTGTGGCATGAAAGCTTTGAAGACATCTTCTGGTTTAATCCACTGTGTGAACCTTTTATGTGATTATTAGCATATTTCAAATTCTTCCAAAGGGTGTGTTTTTATGACCCACAGGTGAAAATCGCTCTAATTTCTGATGCTATGACTTGATGGCAGAAAACTTGGACATTTTCTAATTCTACATATAGAGACTTTGAGGGCAGTTGGCCTATATGCTAACCTGCTACTCCACAGCATTCTTGTTAAACTGATTGTCGAAGTGTTCTTGAGCAAGACACTTTCTCCCAGTGTGAATGTGTGAGTGCTTGGGAGTGCGAATGGGTGAATGACCAAATAGTGTGAAAGCGCTTTGAGTGTGCTGTAATTCATAGAAAAGCGCTGTACAAGTGTAAGACCATTTACCATTTAACACCCTGTACTGGTTTACAGTTGTTTTTCACATTCCTCTGTACTGAGTTGTCTATAATGTAATCAGTCCGACTGACAGAGCAAATCCAGAATGTACTCTGTGAAGGTTGCCAGATGAGCACTTATCACACACCCTGAAAGAAATACATGTATAAACCAAATCTACCACAGACAACTCTGATAGTAAGGTAATACATCAAATGTATTATAGTGTTGTGTTTAGTGCCGTCGGTTTTATTTGGTAAAGTAAAGTATTCTTGGTAAATACAATTTCAGGTGTTTAGCATTTACTTTACTTGGTTTATAATGAAACACTTTTTCCTCCAGAAATGCTTACGGTAATCCACCTGGATGAAACTGTGTCTTAACACTTTTTTAATGTAACACAATGGTAGATAAGTGAAAGTAGAATTTAATTCAGTTAGTTTCTTTAGTGTTGACTGTTTTTTCTTTTTTCAAAATGTAACTTATAGTTTCACTTGACCCGTATTGTGTTTTTCAGCTGGTGTTTTGATGAATATGAAAATTTTGTTAATATTCAGGATATTTTTTTCAGAGGTGCACATATCCTGAATATAAAATGTCCCTTCAGATGCAGTGAAATTAAAATACAGACCAACACAACACCACCACAAACTATTACAGCAATTTCCAACAGCTGATTTCTTTCTTTTTTCTTTTTTTAATAAGTTTAGTAATTTCACCCTGAGGTTTTGCTAAAAATAGCACAGCATGAATCAGTTACAATATTCAAATACAGCACAGTGTGACCAATGAAATGACAGTGCCAAACAGATGTCTTTCCTGTTGGAGTAACATCCTAATCGAGTCTGATTGTTAGTCTCATATCAGCCTGTAATGGAGAATAGCATCATTTATTTACATGCACCATTTCTCTTTGTCAAATATTGCTCAGGAAATGTGACATAATTTTAGCAAAATTCTATTGTGTGCTAAGTTTTTCCAGAGAGAAGTGTGTTATCATTTGTTTTCCTGGGAAGGCAGCATTGGTCTAGTGCCTGATATCTGACACCAGAGTTCACAGAGTGCAGGTCAGGTTGCAGCTGCGGGCCCTTCATTATTTAGACCTGCCTCATTCTCTTCTTCTTCCAGTCTTAATTTGACTCTTTAATGTGTTTAAGTAATCATTTCAGTGGTATTTATTATTTTTAAATAGCCCATTTTTATTTACTCATAAAAATTCTAATGAATAGTTTTTTAGATCATTATTTTTATTGCATGCAACAAAGTTCTTCTGTTATTCTATCCTCTTTTAACACTAAGAGCAGAGGTGCCCATTGGTCAGGCTGGTCAAAGAATCAGTATTTACATATACATGAATAACTTGGTTGAACACAAATTTTATATACAAGAGAGAAAAAGAAGCCCCCTAAACTTTACACCACAAAGAACTGATTCAGGATCACTGTATGAAAAGTATGTTCTAAGTATCAGTACACATTCGGAAACATCTTTCAAGCACTAACTTAAAATGCTGACTTTTTTAACTGGAGATGTGTTTCAGTTGAACACACAGAAGTCTGGAAGAAATACTTTTTATTAAAAAGAAGTCTTTCACAGTGAATTGGAAAACAGATGCAGGCCTCAAGAATTTCTCACTATGAGTTGGTTAAACTCTATCAACTATCAGAAACAGTAATATGACACAGCCTTGAGCTGTAATAACATCTAACAAAGGGAAAAGAAGAGTGCTGAACAGTGAACTGTCCTTGTGCACAAGGGGTGAATGTTACAAAAAACACTTTGCATGCACAGACTTGAAAGCTTCCAGCATGTTTAGTTGCATGTACAGACACTATGATGAAGTAACACGTCAAGTCTGCTATGAGTGGTGCTGCCTACAGTACCAGTTACACTGCAAACTCACATTAATGCTAACTAACAATTCATACATTGTAATAAATGCAGTAAATATCAGCCTCTGTTCCTTTTGCTTGTTCAGCAACAATTCCAATATGAAACACTAAATTTAAAATATATAGCAACAGTATTTTTGTCTTTTTTTTTCAAATTTTATAAAAGGCCAAATGTGCCTTAGATGACCACAGAGCAGACATTTGTAACCTTCACACCAAAAATACTCACCCAAAGCATAGTTTATGTTCACTTAAAATCCATCAAACCCAGTACTGGTTGTCTTTAAGAGTCGGAGTAAGGGACCTAGATCTTACAGAGGTCTTGAATCCTGTAGGGACAGCTGGTAGTGTATTACCACAATTTACGTTGTCTCCACTACTGTTACCACCTCTAACATTCCCATCACCACATGCTACATCTACTTCAGATGGCCCCCAAAAGGTTATCCCTGGGGCCAGACTTCTCCTTCTGGGACATATGGGTATCCTGGGTGAGGTTGGACAGCTTGCAGGCCCAAGCGGAGTGACCACCACAGAGGGCATAGCCACGCTACGCTCTGGCTGGCCCAGGTAGGGGCTGCCCTCAGTGGGTGATGACACTGCAGCAAGCTCCTGAATGAGACACAGCCTGGCCTGTTTCTCCTTGCGGTGGCGGAACACCAGGATTAAAACCACTAGAATAATGATGAGGAACAAACAGGCCAGCAGTGGTAGGATAATGAGGAGGGGGTCGGAGGCAGGCCGAAGGTGGACCTCAGAGTGAACTGGGGATGTGTCTGGAGGATTCATCAGATCATGCTTTTTTAGTACAAACGGGGTGTGGGGTTGTGAGGCATGGCTGTGATCCCCTTCAACTCCTTCTGCACTGCTTCCTGATCTTTCTCCATGTCCTCTACTGTGTGTGTGGTTCTCCCAGCGGTTGTGAGGCCTCAGCTTGTGTTGCGTCCTGTTGTTGTTCTTTTGTGACCAAATGTGGGATTGCAAACCTGGTTGGACTCCATTGTGCGTTGTAAAACCCCTTCGCCTGCTTCCAGTAGTAGTTCTATTATGTGTTGGCAGATCAGTTGTAGTGTGCTGGTGACTTGCACCATCAGCTTTATTCAAAGCATTTGGACCATGATGCATCTGGTGGTGTGGTAAGATGGTGAAGTGAAGCTCACCCTTTGCTGGTTGGACATTTCCAGCCTTCAGAAGGAAGATGAAAGAATCATTGAGTGGTCTGGCGGGGGTGTGGCCTTGAGCTGTTGCAAGCACTGATTTGTTATCATGGAGCTGGTCATTGCTGGTACTGAGAGTCTCCTCGATGGCAACTCGGCCTTGAACCACATCTCTGAATGTAAATGACTTCAGAACCTGTGATGCTCGGTTAGGGTCATAGGTCATCTGCAGACACGCACACACAGGCACAGACACACAACAGAGAAGAGTGAACTGAAAATAGTGTACTCCTGGTTGTGTCACACGTGTCATGACATCGCTGGTGGGTGTGGTTATGGTTGGTCGCAGAGCACACTTCTAACACTCCCATGTCTATTGGTCATGTCACGTGCGTAACTGGACTGGAAACTATCAACCAGAGACAATAGTTAAACACTTTCTGCCAGATTTTAAAAGTAATAAGTGGCATTCACAGTAATGCAGGACAGGCATGACAAACAGCTAGGGCACATAAGAGATGAAAATGTGCCAAAATACAAGCAGAGTTCTTCAAAATTTACCAAAAGATTGCACTAAACAGATTTACCTTAACTAGTTTTCCATGTTTTGGCGGTGAGAGAACCTCAAACACGGGGTCAGTTCGGCTGATTCTTGCCAGCTCAGAAGCATCAATCATGGCTTTCCCCAGTTTCACAGCAACACCACTGGGTACTCTGACCGGCTCCCTCAGGTAAATCAGAGGCTGCACAGTCACCTTCACTGTCTCTGCCGTTACATTTACATACTCAACACCTGGTGAGGAAGCTGATGCTGAGACTTGGAAGCTGTCCTCTGATTCACTGAGATCAGTCATATGATAGACAACCCGGCCAAACTGCAGGTCCTCCTGGCAGAAAGTTGTGACCTCCTGGTCATTAATAGCAATGCGTCCGTGATGAGGGTGTGTATGGACTGTGTAGGTGATGTTGGCTGGACTGTGACCATTGGTTTGAGCTGCCAGCTGGTTTGTTGTGAGGACCACAGCAGTCCTGCCTTGAACCAGCGACAGGCCAGTGTTGTTCACTATAGATACAGAGGGCTTGATCACCTCTAAACTAAACAGTTTGTAGAATGGATGGTGATGACCGTCAGTTACATTGAAATAGAAAACTCCTGCTGAGGGCTCACCCTGATGGAGAGAAGAGCGCATAAAGCATAAAGCATAAAAGAACCAGCATAAATAGAATGATAAAGCATCAATAAACAACAATAAAAAAAATATGACCTGGTGAATATCATAATATATTTCATGCAAGTTTTAGACTGAAATGAATAGAAATCAATGACAAACTGAACTTCATGATAAATACATTTAAAAAATCCAACTGACTTTAAAGATGCATCATGTCACTTTTGTTGAGACATCACCCATTTTTCAGACAAGACTAATGTATACTTTGCTACTGTTTTGTATCTTAAGTGTCTGTAGGCAATGATGCAGAGGGGAATTAACAAAAAGGAGAACTTAAAGCCTGTGGGTTTTTCCATTATTCACTCCCAGTGGCAGCACAAAAATTCACTGTGGCAGCAATGCAGGCTCATTTTTATACAAGCAAGAACATTTTCCATCAGACTAAGCTGATGCACCTGTTGTATGAAGTGTAGCCGGCCATGGTTGACGTCATACTGGGTGAAAGAGGTCACTGGCTCTGGTCTCTCCCCCAGCGTCAGGTAACCATTGTTGGGCTTACTTATCACAAGATAATGCAGCTCTTCTGGAGGGGTGTCATGATCTTCAGTCTGCACATGCAAATTTAAAGGGAAATTAACATTCACTTTCAAGTATTGCTGATGCTGATTTAATACAACTCATCAGATGCTGTCACCACAGCTGTTTGGTTAGTTAGTGTGTGAATAGAATAACCCATCCTATTAGCAACTGGAAAAGTATAACAACTTTTGCTGCTATAATTAAAAAATCAACTTGATGCATATACTGTAGACTATAAAATGTTAAATTTGTTTCCAGTAATTGTTAAATGTTTATTATTACAATCTGAATCTCATTACTGTGAATTAAAGTGTGTAAAATTGACAACCATAATTACACATCCCTATACCTGATCACTTAACTGGCTCACCTGCAAACTGTCTGGTCCAAGTACAACTCTCTCTCCAACCACAACCTTCATACTTGGGGGTCTGCTCCTGATGAATGGCAGCTGGTTGTTGACTGGTATCACTGTAATGTTGAATGTCTCCAACACCACCAGGGCTGAAGTGAGAGGGGATAAGGAGGAGGAATCAGAGAGAAAAGCTGATGAGGAAGAAGGGGAGGAGAGATCCAAAGGAGCCACCCAGGCTTGGAAAGTGAAGCTGTCGTTTGTCGTCCCTGTGTCATCGTGGATGTATGTGATGCCGAACTTGTCGAGGGTGATTTGAGAAAACTCTGGCTGGTTTCTGAGGACAGACAATCAAAAGCCATATGAAATACTTTCTTCATATTTCCAAGGTTGTCTTTGAAAAAAAAAAAAGAAAAAAAGAAAAAGATGGAACAAGTTAAATATAGGTCAAGAAGAACTGGAATGTCTGGATTATCACTTTAGATTTTCCTAGGCTTTTTTCTTTCAGGACTGAATTAAAAATTTTACCACTTGATTGTGCTTGGTGCCTTATTTCTGCTTTGGCTAAATGTGTTTGTCCAAGTCAGGAGTGAATTTTTAGTGTGTTACAACACAAAATATTCATGTTTGTAATCACAGTTATTAGTATATCCAATACAGGCAGCGTCTGTGCCACTGTGCTGAAAGGACATAATTAAATCACTTATTGATTTATGGTTTTGCACTTTGGACAAAGCATGACCCATTTTTGATCTTTGTGCTGCTTCCAGTAGAAGAAGAGCTCTTGCACCTGGTGAGATTGTGTCCTTGTATAGACAGAGTCCCGTGACGAGGTAGAGAAATCACACGGTAAAGAACGTAGTGGTCCTTTCGGTACAACGCTGGAACATGACCCAGGAGATTGAAGGCATTGAGTCTAGAGCTGTCGATTTTCACTCTGCCTCCCTCTGCCACCGTAGCACCTGGAATGATAGAAAGAATTTGGCTCTCAATAACTTTTATTCTTCCTGATGAAAGAAAATGTAGAGTCAATGTGAATAAGCCAGTTTTACAGAAGTCATTCCACTGTAGGTGAAGCTATGGTGCTGTTTTCACAAGTGAGAGTAATTGTGTAAATGCTCATCTCTATTAAAAAGTACATTTTTATTTTAAAAGCATTTACTAATAACAGTTAAAACATTAAAAACAACGAGACCGTTGAAAGGGAAAACGAAGTGCCAAGAACTACAATATATCTGCAATAAAAGATCTACTGCATTATATATGAAATAAGACTGGTCTAGTGGAGTATTTTAGACTGAGCCAACAGTACCTGCATTGTTCAGTAGCCTGGTTGTGAAATGAGGATTGCTGTGATGATTGCTGGCCCCATAGGAGATTAAGATAGTGAAGGTGTGTGGAGGAAGGAAAGCAGGAGGAGAGGACACAGTGAAAGTGAAAGAATCCACAGCCGACCATTCCACTGACTCTGAATTGTTCTGGTCATACAATATAACTCCATCATTCACCTGAGAGAAGGTCAGATGAAGAAATAAGGAGGGAGAGGGGACTCATTTTATCTGAGAAGAGATGGCTTTATCTGGTGCAGAGATGATAAGTTACCACATCATTATAGATTCTGTTTATATGCATGCAATTATAAGTCTCATACCATGCTTTGTGTGAACATGGAAATGCTATTGGAGTTGTCAGGCGTTCGTTGGACCAGGCGGCCAAGTTTAGGAGGAGCAATCACTGTAAACACCACGGAGTGGTTTCTTCTGATATCACTGACATTGTTGGTTATAACCTGAAGCTCCTGCTCAGAGATTGGTGTCACAGAGCCTTAAAGGGGAATGAGGACACAATGAGCTTACAATGAGCTTACAAAAACAGAAAGGCAGCACCGAATTCCTGATGAACTCTCATATCTATGGATATCTGCATGCTTCCAAACTGCCACAAAAAGACACAAGGGCTTAGAGTAAGTGAAATTAATGAATGCATATCCAAGGGAGTGACTTTTCTTAGAAGTATTTTAACAAAAAAAATCATCCTCTAGAAACAGTTTCCCAAATTAGGCCAGTCAGAAGCAAATATCTCACTTCTTCTGAAGTGTAACAGTGTGTACAAATTACTGTGCATGTTGTACTCAAACAGGTGTGTAATTTTGATAGTGCCACATCAGAACAAGTCCTCTGGGTTTAAACTGGTGTGGACAAATAGCAAAACTATCATCCATCCATCATTTGTGAAAAAATCAAGCTCAGTGTCCCAAGTGAGGTGTCCACTAAATGATACTTTTTCTGACATCTGATATAGATCCCATGTGTGATTTCTAATCCCAGTGAAAATACAAAGCACTACTGAAATAGTCTAGAAGAGGCCAGAAGAGTGGCATGGCCAGTAAACCCTTTTCACTGTACAGTGGAAGACCTTTGATTTACTCACACTGCATTAGTACATTTTGAGCTCTCTGAATACACACAATTTTAGGTTTGATCATGTCAGAAAATTATGATTTACATGTATATGCTAGCAAAGTCAGATCATTTTCATTTTATGTTAACATCTTTATCAACACAAGTCATAACAGCTTCACTTATATAACTTTGACCAGAAAAACTACTGATACGTTTGTATGTACACACGTTGAAGCCACTTTACTCTTACACAAAGTGGCACTTTGAGCCCGGCTCTGACTTGGCACAGAAGTACTGTAATTCATTTGTGTAGGCAGAACCATAATACGCTGAGGTAATGCTTAGACTAGCAATTCCACCCACTGCCATTGTTATTTAATTGCACTACATTAGGATACTTTCCTTCCGGTTTCCTTTGATAAAGACTTCGGAGTGGAATTAAGCAATAAACAATACACTTTGTCCCTTTAATAATATCATGACCCTGGAAGACTTCCAGCTTGTGATTGACAGATAAATAGCAAGTGGCCCATAGTCACTATACTTAAACTGCCTGTGAGCAAGTCCAGGGATTTGAACAGGTTGAGTTATTGTAACTGTGTGAGCTTATACCTGGGTAGACCTCCAGTGGATGGTTTCTTTGCAGGGTGAGGATCAGAGAACGGGCAGTTGTACTGAAGATCTGACGAGGGGTAAAGTTAACACCATCGTTCACCTGGAAGTGAAAGCCACCAGACAATGTACCTACACAACAGGAGAGCCAGAAAAGTCCTTCTTTCACTCATCTATTGTTTTATTTAATCCAGACTTATCTTTTACCCCAGAACTCCAAAAAAAAGACAAATTACAGTACAAAGTATGCCAATAAGCACTCTGTGCTAATTGATTCAATCTGCCCTGCTTTGCTCACCACTGTGCACAAACACCAGCTGTCCACTTTGGATGTGATTTTGGGTGAAGTTCAAGATGTGTCTGGAAGGGGCGCTCTTCAGAGCCAGGTGGCCATTGCTGGGTGGGGTGATGATGAACTCCAGCTGCTCAGGTGGGGTGTCAGGGTCCTCTGCACTAAGCTCATCTATGGTTATTTCTGTTACTGAGCCCACCCACACCTCAGGAAACATGAGGAAAGATGGAAGAAATGCCAGGATGGTTATTAAATTAAACTATTAAAGGAACAATACATCATTCTGAGAAATTCACTGTAGCCTATTATAGGCTGATACTCATAAATTTGGTAACAGAGTATATACACTGTGTGTTTGTGCATAAATGTTTATTTCCCTGAGACTGGCTTTTTAAAAATCCTTGCTAAGATGTTTTAGGGCAGATACCAAGACCTCCTAAATGATTTTATCATTTCTGAACTCTCCTTCAGTCTGTCTTCATCCAGACAAGGTGATGCAGTCAGACTCCCACATTTTGGCTGGAAAAAAGAAAACTATCATGACTGCTTTACTTTCTGTGGGTGTACTACACTTCAAACCTTCAAACCCTGGTTTACTGTAATGACAGGAGTCTCATCATTGATGGGAATGATGTTGATATGAACAGTGCAGGGTTGACTGTGTTTGGCGATTTCTGTCTGGTTGGCCACAATGGTGAAGTTGTCTCTCTGTGTATCGCTGCCATCATGGACATAGGAGATGTATTCCCGTTCCACCTGGAAATAAATGGAGAGAAGTTTCACTCTCAGTAGACTTTATTTGTACCGTGGCCCCATACTGTATATCATCATACATAGATGAGTGTTCTTGATTAAATTTCCCTGAAAACTGTATTCCAAACAATTGTAATTATTCAAAATGCTGGAAAACAGAAGCAACTGACTTTGTGCTCCAACATGTCAGTGTTTTAAAATGTACAAGAATCTAAACTAAAATATCCAACATTTTACTCTGCAAAC